CCCTCCCAAACGCTCGATATTCAAATTTCCACGTTATCCACTCGAGGATCAACTATCCACGGAGGACACACACACACACTTGGTAAATCCATTTTTGTTGATTTTTTTTTTTCTATTTGCATCATTCAATGGCAGAAATGGAGTTAATAGTGGCAAGTACATATTTATATTATTTAATAGAAAATAGAATAATATTTTTAAGGTTTATATTCGATAAATCCATTTCTATTTTGATCTTTCTGATTTTTTAAAAACATCTATAGTGATCAATATCGATAAATTCATTTTAATTTATTTTCTGATATTTTTGTAGCGATTAAAATAGGAGGATGTGCGGTCATATTCCAAAGAATATTTGAAGAGATAAAGAGAGATTATAAAATATAACCATTTTAATCATAGATATCATATAAATTGAAAATAATTTATCGAATTCAATTTTATCAATCTCATCATGTCAGATATATAATAATTTGCATTTTATTTATTTTTTTTATTATTTTATTTATTATTTTTTATTTATTTTTTATACGTTGTAATTCAATTTATGTTTATAAGCAAATTTTTATTCTTATATTCTCGCGGCAGTCATGCGTATTACTCGCGAACAAAAACAAAATGGACACAAAGAAATAACTCTTGTAACAGGACGTGTAATCTGAACATTGTAAATCAAAGTGCTATTATTACATATTTAGCCAACGTAGTAATGTTAAAGCACGTGAATCGTGGCGCGAAATATAGTATCAAGTCCATTGATATTATCCATGTGCACGCAAATACAACAAGTCTCAAAGCCTTGCACATCGTATACACCTTATTTCTCTGGATAAATCAATGCAGATTTAGGATATATCCTTTTTTTTACATAACAATAAAAAAACTACAACATATAATCCATCTTTCCATCCTAACATTTAAATAACTCGTATTTAATATCAATTCACAACAATAATCTCAATTTTAAAATTATTTGAAGCGAATATTGTAAAACTATTACGTAGCGAATCAATTTTTCATCGAGAATTTATTTAAAAAAGCCTTTATCGATTATTTTACAAATTTTTTTTCATCGAACAAGATTAAAGAATACATTGTGTTTGAATACAAAATCAATAAGATCCCACAGTTAAATATACTTGATCGCAATAACTTTATCTACTGTCACGCTTCTGTATGATGTATGCAATTATACCTATCGGCTAATTTTAATTATTAATGCATATTTCTCGATTGCATATTGGATACAATAATTTCATGTGATTTTACGATGTACAAGGTTCATTTTTTAAACGATATTTGAACGAAGAAAGTATAAGCGTTGCGATAGTCATTCGTTCCAGCAAATATTCGAATAATTTAATCCCGGGTTTTCAAAATATATTTCACACTGTGGATATCGCAAAACGTTTTAATTCTTAAACAATAATAATAATAATAATAATAATAATAATAATAATAATAATAATAATAATAATAAATAATATTCCACAATTGGACAAAATACAGTTTTTTACAGTTTGATGAGATTGACACAAATTATCCCCGAATCGAACTATCGATGCGTTAATGCTCAACTTAAACAACTTCCTCCAGCTTTAAACGATAATTAATACCTGCCAATATTGGTAATAACCTGAACCTCGGTCGAGTTGGCAATAAGGGATCGAGGGGGAACAGGAATTGGAACGTGGCCATGTCTCAAGGCGAGAGAGCTCGACGACCATCATCGATTATCTCTCCCGAATTTTCTCTCTCGACCAAAAAAAAAAAAAAGAAAGGATAGACTCTAGAAGAGGAAATTTTTCAATTTTTTTTTTGTACGTAATTTTACGCTCTATTCTCGAATCATGTGTCGCAAATCGCAGAGCTTGCGTTGACGTCAATTCAATTGATCAATTGATTTATGGATCGATAACGAATATAAATTTATGAAAATTATCTCGACGAGAAAAATATGAGCGAAATATAGGCTCACATTTTTATGCTCATCAATGACTCTTATTATTTACTGCAATTATATCAATTCGAAAAATAAACTCAACTTATAGGATTATATCGATAAACGATATAACAATGATTTTTTTTTCCATATCAATAACTGAAAATTTTGAGCAAATTTTTATTGCGACGATATTTTTTGTTCCACGAGTTCTCCCTTCTTTTCCGCTTTCTCTATCTTGAGATCACTTCGCGCAATCTTACCTCCTGGCACCATACGCATTCTCAGGATTGCTCTTCAACTTTTCTACACTCTTTTAACAAACACTCGAATCTCTATCGCGAGAATTCGTTGTTCATCGATGACTTATAATATAGCGAACATTCGATTCCATAGATCCAGGCTCGCGAAACGGAAAAAGAATCGGCCTCGAGCGTAATGGAATTTACGTTTTGCTTTAGCGAAACACGAGTGACGGCCAATTTGCTCAACGACTGTGCTGGACTGTGATCGAGTCGTGTCCGCGACCAATCGTGAGAATTTTACGCACGGAATTCGGTTAGTGTGCGCCATCGTTTCAAATCAGAATGCCTCGTTTCCAATTCGCAGATACGTCCACCATTTTACCACCATGATTCCGTGAAGCTAAATTAGACTGTCGAGGATGGAGAGGAAATCGAGCTTTTGATGTATCTGGTTTCTTGGTATACAACAAGAGATCGTGATGTGAAAGTTAATTTTTTTTTACCGATTGATACACAATTATAAATTGTTTCGCGCTGATCTAAACGATTAAAGATGTCAAAGGTATTCAATGATATCTAATGATATTATAATTTTAAAACAATTTTTAAATTATCGATAGATAAAGCTTAGTACAGTATGTATTTAATTTTGATAAATTTTTTAATAAAAAAATAAAATATATCTATTTATAATATATATAAATCTATCTACTGCTGTATGGGAATAATTTTATTATCGAAATTTTCTCTTTACCATATTGAAATATTTTTCTCGTGTATTATCTATCGAGCATTTAAATTGAAAAGTTTAGTATTACTATTATCGTTTTATTAGTGTTTTTGTTCGAATGTTAAATTTTAATTATATTTACGATGATATATTACGAATTATGATGCAAGATACACGCCAGTAAACGTCCAAACTAAGTTCATTTTAAACAGAATAATAAAACGATTAAGGGAATCATTAACAGAAACAGATTTGAAAGTGCACGATCATGTTCCAGGAAACAGATGGTAAGCGGAAGGCGACGTCAACAAGTGTCTTGGCACGTTTGAGCGGTTTTTCAAAGCGGCCCTTCTTCCTGGCGAAGCTCGTAAAGACGCTTGGCACTCTAGCGACCAGGAAATTGTGCCGCGTGTCTGCCAAAAGTTTCATTTCACCGAGGACCGAGCATTCGAGCTCGTCCTTCAAATAAATCACGGAAAGATTTCTTGCTTTATAGCACAGTCTTTGTTACTATAGCTTGCTTCATAATCGTGCTATAAAGTGCATAAAAATGTTGGTTTTCCTCCAAGAAGGAAGTCAATCGACTTTCTGTTTCTTTAAACAGAATATAGAAATACTTAAATGAATACTAACTGAATAAATAACATTGGAAATATGATTTGTAATTATAAAAATTTTTAATGTTAATGATATAATGTATATACAAGATATATAAAGCAAAATTTGAAAATGTATATAAAAGTTACAAAACGTTTATATAGCAAGCAGCTATATATTTTTAAAACTTATAAATACAATAATAATTATTAAATTTTAAAAGATTCAGTAAAATATTAAAATTTCGATAAAAAAAAAGCAGAGTCACGTGATAATTCAAAATATGTAAGTAAAATGTCACGAATGAAAAGAAGTTAAGTAACTTGAAAATCCTTGTTCATCCCTCCTTATTATTGTTCCTTGTTTTCAAGGGACTTTCATAATATCATTCTCGGTTTTATTGTGAGAATGAAAGTTTGATGTTTATGGCAAGTGTTAGGGATGTTAAATAAGGGTGTTTGAACTAAGTGGTTGAAGTTGGGGTTGAATCAAGCTTTCGCAGCTAAAGGAAACTAAAATAAAATATTACACCACTGCACAATGTAAATATAATTTTTCTGTTCCATATATTAATTTCATAAAATATTACGATATCTGCTTAATTTTTTTCGCTTTAATTAATTTATCAATACCGATATAATATTCTTTTTAATTATTCTAACTTTCGAATTATTTGAAGTTTAATTGCAGTTATTTAAAATATTTTTCTGCTATAAAAAAAAAAAGAATTAAAAATCACGAACTTATCATGATTATAAGCTTGCAAACATCAACAAACCGTCTCGATCATCGAAAATTAAACTTCTTCGCAAAAATTTCACACAAATCTTTACTAAAACACTAAAAGATCTTCCTTATTGTTCTGAAACAGTTATTCCAAAAGATATTCATCTCTTGGAAAAAGTGAGACATCATCAAAGCATGACGAGAATTCCTTTGAACAAACGCACTCTCGTGAGTTTCATGCAACTCGGATATTTAGACGCTAAATAACCGCCAAACCGACCTCTGGAATACAGATCCCTGTCACAGAAATACCTTATTATCGTCCAAAATTTTCAAGAGTCTATTTCCTTAATATCCTCTCAAAAACAATCGAATAACGATAAACAAAATGAAATCATTGATCGTCCGTGCAAACTCGAGGAGAGAACGAGAAGAAAAAAGACGAAGATATGAAAAAGTATGAAAAAGTTGAACTAACTACAATACCACATCTCTTTTTTGTGGTATATATTTTATATAGATTCCACAATTCCATAAAATGAATTTCTTTTTCTTTTTTTCCTACAACTTTTACACGCAAAGAAAATACAAATAGAAAATAAATAGAATAGATTTCGACGTGGGAACGTAACCTAGCCTCGTTGATCCTCGAGAATGAGGGCATTCGGTTATACGAAGCATGGATGATAATATTGCACCATGAAAACTGTTCGAGATCGAACGAAGACCATCGTTGAAGGACTTAGTCTAGCTGCCTTACCTTGGTAATGGCACGGAAGCGAGCGTGGCTTCCGTTCTGAACGACGAAGTCTTAACTGCAGATTAAACCAGGTACAACCATTGTGAAAGGTCCGCTCGAGGACCCGTGTCGCGAACTATATCTAGATACGTTTGTAGGCCGTTTCACGTCCTCTATTTTCCCCTCTCTCCACATGGATTCTTATCTTCTTTCTTTTCTTCCTCTTCTTCTTCCTCTTCTTTTTCTTTTTCGTTGTCGTGGCTTTATATATTCCTTTCTCTCTCTCTATTTCTTTTAAATTTATATTCTTAACCTGGAGGTAGAATTCGAAGAATGATTAAAGAGAAAAACGGTATTTCGCTCGTGTTTTGTTAAAGAACAGTATACACACATATATATATATATATGTATATATAATTGAACTAGGCGAAATCGTAAATCGAAAGATAATACGAATAATATAGAATATTAATTGACAGCATTCGTTTTGGTCGTTCCTCGTATCCTCTCTCTTATTCGTCTTCTCGCCTCTCTTCTTAATAATATTCTTATCAGACGTGTGAATTTCTCGAACGAGCAGATAAAACAATAGATGAATGATATTTTTTTTCTCTCTCTCTCTCTCTTTCTCTTTCCAAAGACATATATTTTAGTAGATTTTCTTCTTAATAATTAATCACATCATATATTAATATATTTCTATGTATGTACATATATATATATTTTTATTTTATTTTATTTTTAATCTCGCTATATTGATTTCATCGACAAGCCTCTCTAAGCGTTCTCTAATTATCATCTATTCCGTCGTTTCTTTCAATCGATATGTCAACCTGTTCCCATTCGTTCGGTTTAATTATTCGTCCTTGTTTCTTTTCCTCTCTCTCTTTCTCTCTCTCTCTCTCTCTCTCTCTCTCTCTCTCGGCCAGCCTCTTGATTCGCTCTTCGCCAATTTAAGACACTTCTTCTTCGTCGTATATGTCACCTCGTTCACCAAGTCGACCTCTGAAAACGGAATTTCACGCGGTGATGCACGACTATCCGCCACGGGGAGCACGCAAGAAACGACAAACACGTGTGTCGCGATCGTGCGATATCCTTCCTTCTCCTTCCATCGCTCAGCTTTTTGTCCCCTCCCCCCCTGATTCTCGCTGCTCGTCGAAAATTTATACGCTGCTCTTGGAACCGCTTGCTTGAGATTAAAGGTTTGTTCGACAAAAAAAAAATTCGAGGATTATTCATTCGTCAGCGCAACCAAACCTAGTTTTTCTAATCCTAACCCCGTTTAGTCTAATTTAATTTGATCTTAACGAAGTCTATCCTGAGATTAACCCGACGACAATTTTTTCCAATTTTTTCTAGTAATAGAAAAATCAATTCCTTCGATCAAATCTATTTTGACGAAGTTTAATCTAGTTTAAGTTAAATATAATACAAAAACGTGGTTCTTCAATTTCGTTTAATTTTAAATTCGTAATAAGTCATGTTATACGAATGGACTATTTAAATAATTTTCGAAATACTTCGTAATTATTAATATTTTACTTTAATACTGTATTGCACAATATTGTACAGCATTGTATAATACTTTTAGTGATACAAATATTGCATATACGCAAATATTTGAGTCAGATATAAATATATTTTCAATTCATTCACAATTCCATTTTTGCGAAATGTAAAGCATCTTTAATTTATCTCTTAAAAATCAAAAAAATTTTTTGAATATTATTTTATCTGATCAATTTTAGCGACACTGCATTAAGTTTTCAAATTATTCTAATTTAATATTTCTAAAAATATGAGAAATGACGACGAGTCGATTTCAGACATTCTTTTTTTTTTTTTTTTTTTTTTAAAAAGTATCCTACTCTCTGATCTTCATTCGAGACGAACTTTCTTTTGTTCCCGAGTCAAGTGCGCCATTAATTTAAAAAATATTGAATTACTTCGCGCGTTGATTCCAAGCTCCACGTATCCTATCGATCCATTCCATAAGAGGTTATCGCTTTAAACGAGGGCATGAAAGTTCGTAGCTCGATACTTGTTTTCGAATGCGAAGATGTCTCTCTCTTTATCAGAAATATCAGCTGGACATCGAAAATAATTTAAACAACTTTGGAAACTCGTCCATGTATTCGCTCTTCTATGATATCCACTGGATAATAATCTCGAATCCAATTTAAAATAGATGCATCTATTGTTGGATGTAATTGTGATGATGGATGGAAAGTTTTTTTTTTTTTTTTTTTTTTAAGAAAAAAATTAAGGTCACTTTGACATGTAATTGTAGGGAAATTGACACGAACTATCCCCTTTAAAAACGTGAAACCGTGTTCCACAGACAGGAAGCGAAACACCAGGAATATATTTTACGCTTCGTGGAGATTATGGGGTGCGATAATAACTTTTGCATATGATCGTTTATCGTTGAAGTGGTGTTACACAAAGTTGTGCTGTTTATCGATTTTCTTCGCAAATAACATTTTGTCATTTATGTTAGTATTTCTCTCTCTCTCTCTCTCTCTCTCTCTCTCTCTCTCTCTCTCTTCGTATCAAAAATAAAAATCAAAAGGTCTTCAATGATTTATTATGGACAAAGAATTTTAAATCTGTTAATAAAAACGAGAAATTGATGATTATAGTTACGAGGGCGAGCCATTTATGAATCTTTCTTTCTAGTCTATTTCTAAAACAATTTCCAATTTAACTTCTATCCTCAATACAAACAATTTAAACAAATCACTGAAACCAATTTTTCTCCTTTCGCAAATGGAAAAGGCCACAAAAGGCAAAGCACAATTGAAAAAAAAAAGAGAGATCCCTTTCCGCTCGATTCTTTTCTCCAATCCTTATGAAATACTATTTTCTAAAAACGAATCGCTTCAGGGACTTTGTACTCACGTTACGCAATTTACTTAGACGCAATGGATGGAGCAACAGTCGTAATGGATCGTGTTCTCAATGAAAAGACATTTTATCTCTGGATTAATAAACCGAGTTACGATTAATAGGATCATGATCGAATGTTGACTTGCGAGTATGAAACGAAACGACACGTTAAATATGATATGAGAGAGAGAAAAAGAGAGAGAGAGAGAGAGAGAGAGAGAGAGAGAGAGAGAGAGTTGTAGATTTGTGAATATCATTAATTATTTCGAATTAATTATTATTTTTGTATACACACGAAGTATTATTATGTGAATATAATTAAATGATCTATTGAAAAATCGATTTGAATTGATCAAAATCAATCCGACTTTATACGAGATATATAATTATTTTTCCGTTTTAACAAAATAAAAAAATAAACTTGTATATTTTTAATAATTGCAAAAATAAGAAACTAGTAACATTGTTGCTATAATTGTGCAAGAGAATTAATAATTGATATTAAAATTTTGTGAATTATCTATCTGTGAAATTAATAATAATCTCAATGATAATTCTCTTCTGCAAAAGTAACATCATTAGCTATCATATTAATAAATTCTCTTGCACAACGAGTTTAATAAAGAAATTATTTTAATAAATTGTAATGTTAATAATCGAGATTGAATTATTTTCAAACGCTCTTTCTTTCAAAAAGTAGGAAATTTCTGATCACTAAATCTCTGATACAATTTTTTTTTATATTATTAAATTTCTACGCGCGAGAACTTTTAAACATCAAAATAACGATTCGAATAATCAAAGCGACACACGTTTTAATTCGCGTACGAACATCGAAACGAAATTCTCAAAAAGTAGCAATCAAGCAACAACAAGTTAATGACAGACGCGATATAATTTACGCGCCACGATTTCAACGAGTTAACTGGATAAATGCGGAGCTACGAAATTCGACATTAAAGCACGGCTGCCCTTTTGAAATGAAAATTTCACGAAAATTTATAGCGCCTGACCCGATCGATCGTGTCGATTGGAACGAATGAGAGAGAAAAAGAGAGAAAGAGAAAGAGAAGAAAAAGGAAAGCAAAGAAAAATAGGGAGTTTTCAAACGTTCCATAGAACGCATACACCTGCGTGCTTTCTCTTCAACTTGTCGAGTTAACATGCTATTGACCCGCTAAACCAATTTCCGGGGCGCAATTGCGGAAGATTTTTATTACAGGGGACGTAATCGTTGAACGAATTTGATCGTCCCCACCCTCTACCACTTGTGTCTGCATGCACTCGTGACGCGAAAGATGAAACGGACAGAGGGTTTCGAGAGATTAAAAAATTGCACCGAGGCTTCGTTCGCCATTCATCCTGGCACGCGCTTTTGATGTAGTAATTAATCTTAATACACGATTGAAACTCAATGAAACATGGGATTATGTAAGATTAATAAGTTGTAGCAAGCGTATGAAATTGAGTGAGAAGTTGTGGTTGGATTAAATATATAGGAAAGGATAATTTTTTGGAGAGAGAAGGTGGAGTTGAAAATTTAAAGACAGGATTAGAAATGTAAATGAATCGATGAAATTTGAAATAATCGATGAGAGTTTCAAAATATGCTTAGAGAAGTGAATTATACATTATAGTTGGGAATTGTATAATATATATTAAATTTATATATTATTTATTAATATATATTAAATTTATTGTATTCGATATTTTATTAATCGAAGGATAATTTTAATATCGTAATACAAAATTTATTGATAAGAATATGAGATATTTCAGAGATGAATTATATCTGTAATTAAAAGTGACAAATTTATAACAATTTTATTCATTTTTCATTCTTTATCAATATTGAATTAAAATATTATTTTAATATTGTCGATATTTAAAAAGAATTCTGTCTTTAATAAGATTTATTAACAAAAGATTCAAGATAAATATTAGCAAGTCATCGTTCACCCCTCGCACAATAACTAAAACGTATTAATCACATCTCCTTCCAAAATTTAAAAAAAAAACACAACTCGCAGCATACTGAACTCAACCTTGAAATCGATCGAATTTCTATATGACAAATTTCCATCGAATTCAAGTCGAAACGTGACTTTTCTCGCGTAGAGGGAGATATTCTCGATCGAAAAAAGAGTCCCTTTTCTCAAGCTTACGCAAAAATTGTTCGACTCTGCTCGAGTCCCTCTATCATGAATTCGAAAACGAACGCAAGCTCTAAAAACGGAAAAAA